TTCAGCCACTTTGGATATCAGTATGGAGATTCCTCAGAAAAATGGGAATAAACCTACCACAAGACCCAGCAACTCCACTCTTGGGCATATATTCAAAAGATGCCCATTCATACAACAAGGATGTCTGTTCCACTATGTTCATAGCAGCATTATTTGTAATAGCCAGAACTTGAAAGCAACCTAGATGCCCCTCAACTGAAGAGTGGATAGAGAAAATGTGGTACATTTACACAATGGAGTACTATTCAGCAGAAAAAAACAATGGAATCCTGAGATTTGCTGGCAAATGGATGGCACTAGAAGAAACCATCCTGAGCAAGGTAACACAGTCACAAAAAGAGAAACGTGGTATGTACTTTCTCATATGTGGATTTTATGCATAGATCTGGGGAGTGCCAGCCTACAATCCCATGGCCAGAGAGTCTGGGAAACAGAACCTTCATTCAGTGGCTGATGGAAGCAGAGGCAGACTCCCACAGCTAAGCACTGAGCTGAACTCAAGAAAGCCAGTAACAGAGAGGGAGGACTGATGACCAAAGGAATTAAGACTGGGCTGGTTTAACCCTAGAAACAGTTGACCTTACAAGGGTTAACTCTTGAATCCCAGGCTGAGGCCTGGGAATCCAACATGGGACTGATCAAGACCCGCTGAATGGGGGTGTCAGTGAGGAGGCCTAGGTAATCCATTGAGCCTTGGGCAGTATGTCAGCATTCATCTCGAGTATACACATGGACTTTGGACTCCCATCCAACAATGTGAGATGAACTCTCACCCTGAACTCTTGGGGCAAGGTCTAGGCCCTGCCCTGGATGAAATGACAGACTATGGACACCCCCATGGAGGGCTTCACCATCCCTGGGGAAATCAGGGGATAATGGGGGGGTTGAGGGTAGGGCATGGGAGTAGGGGAGGGAAAGGAAGAGGGACCTGGAACTGACTTGTGAAGCAACCTTGTTTCTAATCTAAATTTAAACTTAAAAATAAATAAAAAAATAAAAACATGTAAGAAATTACTAACCACAATTACCTTCTTGTGCTATACATTAGAAGTTATTCCTCATATACAAATGCCCCCTTGAACATATTTACCCTCCTTTGTTCATTCACTTTTTATTTCCAAAACTGCTTCAGCCTCTGGGAGACTCTGTTTTACAATGTCCTTAGCTGAGCATTGTTTTGTGATTTATTTTTTTTAATTTAAATTAAAAACAGTTTTATTTTACATACCAATCCCAGTTCCCTCTCCCTCCTGTTCTTCCCATTCTCCCCACCACCTCCCCATCCAACTCCCAATCCACTCCTCAGGGAGGATGAGGCCTCCTGTGAGAAATCATCAAAGTCTGTCATCATTTGGGGCAGGACCAAGGACCTACCCCCTTATCTAAGCTGTGAGAGTATCTCTCCATAGGGAATGGGCTCCAAAAGCCTGTTCATGCACTAAGGTTAAATGCCCTTCCACTATAATGAGTCTGATAACTTCCCTAAATGCCATCCTAGAGCCTTCATCCAGTAGCTGATAGAAGCAGAAGCAAAGACTCACAGCTAAGCACTGAGCTGAACTCCTGGAATCCAGTTATAGAGAGGGAGGAGTGATGAGCAAAGGGGTCAAGACCATGCTGGGAAAACCTCTGGGACTCCAGGCTATCAGCTGGGGAACCTGCATAAGTCTGAATCATGCCCCCTCAATATGTGTGTCAGTTGGGGGCTTGGTTCTGCTGGCATTGGAACCAGTATTTAATTTTTAAAAATTTGATTTAGGGTGGCCCGGAACTTACCATTAGTTTTTATTTTCATTGTAGCAATTCACTTCCTTAATTAAATTTACTCTTGAGAATTTTAGTTTACTTGCTTTTGTAATTACAGCTAATAAGGTTGCATTTCTCGCAATTAATTCATGATGTTTCTACATATCGATGCAACACGACTTAATTTAATTCTTTCCTCCCAGCCCTTTGTGACCTTTCAGTGTCTGCTCTACTGGCTCTCTTTCATCCCTAAAATTATAAGCTTGAGTTTCTCTGTTTTCCTGGCTTAGTTAAAAAGGGCAGTTATTTATTTTTTTCAAAGAAGTAATGTTGTGCTCAACTAAGCTTTGGGGGTGTAGAGAAATGGCTTAGCAGTTGAGGGAGCCTGTTGCTCTTCCTTCTAGTGATGCCAAGTTCAGTTCCTAGGACCTATGCCAGCAGCTCACAAATGCCCGCAATTCCGGCTCAGGAGCCTCTGACACCCTCTCCAGTGTCTCTCACAGGCACCTCCACAGGTGTGCTAGACACAGGTAAGCACACACACACAAAACCAAACTTTTTAAAAAGAAATGCTGCTTTCTTTTTAAACTCCATTTTAATTTACATCTGGCACATCTTTTTTCTTCATTTTAATGATTTGTACCATTTCTGTGTCCTTTGCTTTCAAGGTTAGATAGCCTGTTTGAACTCTTTCTGTATTTATGAAGTATTCATTGCTAGCAGCTTGTACTGCATTGCTTTTAAGTCATATGTTTCAGTATATCATATTTGTCTCAGTTTTTCCCTGTATTAATTCACTTGCTGATCCATTAATTGACTTTTGGATATATAGCTACACAATGTTCTCTGTTTATCATGTTAGTTTCTAATTTTATATTATTTTGTGTTCCAAATGGGCACATTAAACTAAATTGATTTTTATTTGTTTATGGTATGTCCAGATATGTTTTGTTACCTAAGGTATAATCTATCCTCAAGAATGTTCCCCTTTCTGATAAGAAAAATAGGTGTTAGGTGCAATGTTCAATAAAGTCTAAAAGATTCACTAATTGTACAGTATGGTATAAATCTAATGTTTCTTTGATTATTTGTGCTTGAGAAACATAGGGCATTTAAAACTCCATAATTATAGCATTATATTCCATCTTCCTTGAAAGAATGATGGCACTTGGGTTATATAACTGTGTAGCATGCAGGTATATTGTGAGTGGAAATATATGCAATGTTCCCCTTGTCCTAGTACCATAACATTGTCTGTGAGCTTGCAAATTTTCAGAATTGACATATGAGAAATTTTAATGAAGGGAGGCAACAATCTATGTTTTGACATCTCTTCTATGAAGTTGACATTAAAGTGGAAAAACAACAGTGTTTTGAGAAAAATATAAATATTCACTAAAGGGACTATACCTAATGCTCAGAGCCCAGCTTTCTTATATTGTAAACAAAAGTTCTTAACTCTCCTCACTTTCCCTGTGCTTGTTAAGCTACAAGAAAATATTTTTATTAATTTTTGCAGCAAATTATATAAATTTATTATGCTTTCCATACATATAACATGCCATTTATTCATAAAAATAAACATAAATTTATTTACAAATTTAAAGCATTTTACCTTCTAGAGTAAATTCTATCTTACTGTAAGGCAGAAATATAATTTCTATTTTTACCTAGCACTACAAGATTCATTGTACCTATATAGATCTATTGCATACTGGAGCATTACATAAAATTGGAAGTAATGCCTTAAATTCTATTCCCATTAGGATAATAAATTTCATATATATATATATATATGTGTGTGTGTGTGTGTGTGTGTGTATATATATATATATTTAAAACATGTTGCATTCTTCTTAGGTGAGAATGTCTTCTTTACATATATTAAGTTTCTTAATATTCACAATGTATCAGTGAGCTATCTATTCTGATTATTATAAAGATTTGTAGTTAAGACAACACCACAATACTTGTTTTGGCTTCACAACAACTTTTGATCTTTAACAGCTGAGTCCTACAGCTTGGTTTCATTGTTTTGGTTTTTAAGGGAGCGTATTGTCCACTCATGACCTTTTGTTTCTTGCTCTGCTTATGTATATGGACTCTATGAAGTATGTGTAATAGTTTATTAGGGTGAAAATGACACAATTCTGTTTTAACTAAAATGTATTTTTAAAAGATTTCCTATGAATTATAAATAATTTTCAAATGAATTTGTAGAGAAGTGATCTGTTTATAATGTGTATTATTTAAATATATTATTGTCTACAGTTCTTTGCTTATGCATTATTTTAAATGAGTAACATTTTATTTTATTCATAAATGTTTTTGTCCTTCTTGAATATTTGAGCAATTTACTTGGACCTCTTATTTGTTAATTTGCAAGGAAATTAATTGAAATGATATGTTTTTCCATTTGTTTCTTGCTAGAGTAAGGGAGCAGTTAATTCTTAGTATTCATGTGTCCAGGGATTTTTCAATGGGCATATTATTAATTTTCCAGCTGCAGACTGTCTGAATTTTCATTATTCAAATATTTCTCCATTCTGTAGTATAATCATTTCACAAGATTAACAAAAGGTTTTACACAGAAAAGGCTTTTAATTTTTATATATTATCATTTATTTTTAAGTTACAGTTATATCTTTTGTTGCTAGGTCTATGAATTCAAGACCTTCCTCTAAGTCCTTTGGATAAATTTGTAGGAGAAGTGCAGTTAAAGTCATGTTGTACAAGCTTGTGGGTAGCTCCAGTAGCATGAACTGAAAATTGGTTTGCTGTTAGTCCATTGTCATCGAAAGTGCTTGTTGTTATCTTTTATCATTTTCCTTGATTCATCCTTTGGTTTTCAATGGCATTTACATTGTACAATATTTATTATTAACCCATGCCAAGCCCATTGCATTTTTTCATATTGAATGCCAAAGGCCCATGTGTATGCTCAAATATACATCTATTCTTTGATGTCCACAGAAGTTCAGACAGGTAGGTTCAAGAACACATGGTCAAATCACTTTATACGTATTTTAGCACCATGCTGTACTTGCTGCATGGCTTGACATAATCTAGTTTTGATTCTAAATCAAATGCATAATAAATAAGCACATCTCTTGAGATATGAACTATTAATATGAAAGTCATTTGTATACTTAGTAATTCTAAGAATTATATGAATATATAAAATCACTAGGTTATTAGTCTGGTAAATATTATTTTAGTTATGATTTTTAAATTGAGTATACAAGCATATTTACCCATCATAATCTTCACTGATTCCAGCAAAATGCACTGCTTCACACTCTACAAAAACTATTAATATAAAAAGCAGAAGTGATATAATAGATGTCACCATTACAAATCTCATTTGGCTTTTGCAAGACATTTTCAACTTGGAAACAATGAAACCTCCTAGAAAATTGCCAATTGCACCTCCTGGGACTAAAATAATCCCTAAGAAAAGGAAGAGAAAATACCATTAAAGCATATCCTATTGAGAGTATTAAAAAACAACATACAGATGCCATTCTCTCTACTCAAACACAATTTTTAAGTATTAAAAGCTAGAAGATGTGTTATTTTAATAAATCTGGTCTTTATAATATATACAATACTGTGCATGGGAATGGAACGATTACGGGTCTCCTGGATTCCACTAATGGGGGTCATGTTTAGATTAGATACACTGGGTATCCAATACAGATATGTAATACCAGGTATCTAATATCTGAGCCAGGAACTTAGTTAATACCCATAGAATTTATGAGCTATCTTATTGAGAGATACTGTTAATTAGCTGATTAAATGCATGGCTTGTTACAAACAGAGTTAGTTGAAATAACAGACTTTCTCAAACCATTCTATGAACAAGAATTGGAGCAACTAACTCACTGAGATATTTCATTGAAGATCAACATGAACAGACTTACAATGTGAGACTTCAGAATACTCAGTATAAGTTGTTTTTTCTACTTAAGCATAAATATTTTGAAAGAGGAAACAACAATAAGAGTGCAGGCTGGGAAAGTAAAGAAAAGAGAAGAAAGAGAAAAATAGAAAATACTCTGTATAATGTAGTTAACTCACAAACAAAATCAAATTAACTCAAGATGTAGATCACTGTGTGTATAGACGTGGGTATAGAAATAAATACCAGTAAAACTTTCACAAAAATAGAAAAAATAAAAGCAAGGAGGAAAGAAATAAATCTGACAATGAAAAAGAAGAACGATAAAAGTGAACAATAAAAACACATAATTGGTAAAATTCAAGTTCAGGTCCAAAGTGGTAGAATAGGGATACTTGGCACTAGTTTTTCTCATCCATGTGATGAAAACAAAATAATTGATTTGGAACTTGTCATTGAAGGAATAGTGGGAGAGCACTGAAAATTGTCTGCACAGAAAATTAAATCTGGTACCTTTGACAAACCAGAGATAATGGTAAAGCAAGGTGAGCAAATACCATGGCTCCTGAAACTCAAAATTTATTAGGGAAGTGGACTCCCTGTTCCTAGGCAGTAAGTTACAGTGGAAACCTACATTTGCCATGAAAAGTTGCATCCTACAGACAAGCAGCCTATACTACCCAGCCTGGAGTCTGAAAACAAGCAAACGTTACAAAAGAAATGAACAAGATCAGTGACATCTTAGTGCTAGAGCATCTGCTGTCAGGGACTCAGCCATTCTTAAGATATAGTTACATCTCAGACTTCTCCTGAACCCCTCAGTGCATAGCTGGGTATGCAGCAACCACAGGCCAAGGTGAGACAATTATACCTGGCTGAGTTTCTCTGACACAATATACTGAATGATTTATGCTCACAAATATTGTAAGAGGCATTATAGTCATGCCCCATATCTTGGATGCTTTCTCGATGCTAGTTGCAAAAAGTAAAAGACTTCAGAGGAAATGTTTATGTGTTGTCCATAGTCTATCTGAATTTAGTGTTCAGTGATAAGAGTTTGCTGTTGCCCCAATACAGTCTACATAGCCATTGTACAGAATAAAACTTCCTAAGTGAAGATAAAGCAGCCTACTCCTTCTATATGCATATGTTAGGACAGACTCCCTGATCTGCCATCAATACCCATGTGCAGAGCATTGCACATTTAAGTCCCTGGAGAGTGTGCACCGCTAGTATAGTCAACATGTCCTGACTTCATCAAATGCTGGGCACAGGCTGCTTGTGCTCCCACTAATTTGTGGACAACTGAGAGGATTTAGAATAATATGAAAATGTAACCTAAATTCTCACTCCCATTCATTGAGAATTTCAATTCTAGAAGATCCAGGGAGACTGTAGCCAGGACGATGATCTCACTTCATTTTTGCTCCATTTATTTTCATTGTAATGTGGGATTTTATTTTTTGTTATTGTTCTTGCTTTTATGTTAATTTTATCGAGTTTTCCTCTTTTCTCCATTTTCCTTTTCATGTTTCCCTTTGTCTTCTTTTTACTTCTATTTTTATCTTTTTAATTTTTCTTTTTTTCTCTTTTATTTTTTAAATGACATGGATTTTCATGTATCCTATGTAAGTGTTCCAGTACTGAGTGACAAGTCCAGCTCTTCAATTAACATTTTTTATTAATATATTTTTACTATTTTAAAAAAGTTCTCCTTTTCTCTCTCTTCTGTCCCACAAGAACTGAGGACCAGTCCAATGGCCTGGTATACAATGGACTTGTACTATACCTCTTAGCTACATTTTCTGAAGAATTAACTTAGTTCCAGTTACAACCCAGTCTCTCTTGAGATATAATGGTCACTTCTGCTTAATACAATAAGGGAAGCATACAACCCCATCTGTTAACCCATACAGATGGGGAGGCTGAGGTTCGTCCCATAGCAAATATCCACACTGTAGCAATAGAGAGAAAAACATATAGTAGGAGAGACCTCTTCTACATCTACATTCTACAACAGTCAAAGCTGCAGCACAGCAGACTGCATGTGATATCTAAGTCTGATGATGGAGTGTCACACAGTAAAAGCTATAATTCTAATTGTTTACTTTTACTATAATACATCTTTAGTCCATAGACCCTGCAACATGAATGCAGCAACCAACCCACAAATCACTTCCAAATATCAGAGTTACTATCAACAGTGTATTTAGAAGTCCACAATTTCCAACAGTGCTATTAATCCAGGAGGAGTCACCACTGAGTGTGCATACCACAATTTATAATGCCTACACATCTGCTTAAAGTGCCAGAGTTTGTCCACTCTTTCAAGACTTACAGAAATGCTATCTTACATGGTAATCTCTGTCCCAAAACTCCGTTCACAAAGTTTTAAGACATTTTATTATAGAGTACTTTGGCAAGCAAATTAAACATTACGTGAGAATTCAATTATTGCAAGTTACACTAGCAGAAGAAAGCAACATATCATGAAGGCCACCATATAAAAGAACTGTCAATGTGAACTCAGTGGAAAACTCCATATTAAAAAATGATATGAACAAGAGCAATATATAATAAATGAACAGTACAAGTAAGTTAAGAAAGATTATTCAAGAGAAAGCAACTCAATAAAGACAGATTCTGAAAAATAACACAAAGCTTGAAAATGAAAAGCGTGATAAGTCAAACCAAAACCAACTAACTGGGTATGGGAGAACACACCTAAAAGTAGGAGGAGAAATACTTACAGCCTCCCCTGTAGATCAAGTTCAAGTGCAAGATCAGAGTGAGCTGCATCCCATTGAAACAAACAAAATTTGATTTAACCAATAGGATAAATCAAGCTAAAGAGAAGAATGTTATTTTAGGGCTGGAAAAGTGGCTTCACAAGTAAAGACGCAGGCCACAATTCCTGAGACACACATAGTAGAAGGAAAGAACAACCCCTAAGATGTCTCCTGAAGTCCACATGTGTGCTATTGAAATACCACACATGTACATTCACAAGACATAACTAGTAAGTAGTGTAAAAGAACAATTGAAAGAATTTCTAAAACTTTATGTTGCTATTGAATTAATCATATAAATTAGTGACACCCTATACTCCTGTAAGAACCTTTAAATGAATTTATGTTTTATGTTAAGCAAATGTTATGGAAAAGTAAATATTTGGATGTTTTGTGTAGAAGTAGATAGATATATTTAATAGAAAAATAGATCAATAATTTAAGTTAGTAAACAATGGGCAATAGTATCCAAGTAAATATTGGGGATTAGGACCAACTTGAGGGATTTCAGAAGAGTGGACAGTAAGCACCCTGATGAGAAAATGTTTCTGCTTTAGAATCTCAGATGTGAAGAGCACTAGCAACTGAAAGACAGGGTGAGGTAGAGAAAAAACAGGAGTTCTTCTTAGAGGCTTATTTATTTTATTTTATGTGATTTCTGTATATATATACATATATATATTTAAAGCAATGTTATTGAGTCATGTCCACTTATAATTTTATTATATATATATACATATATATATCTTATATGGGATGCAGAGAGGAGGGAAAAGGAAACTGCCAGTTGTGTAGATGGGAGGCAGGAAGACAGTTAACAATATAAACAGAGTAGTGAAGTATTGTATGAAAAATATGGAGGTAGTGTTGGAGTGCTCTTTTTTTTGACAATTTTAGCCAGTGACATCCAAGTTCACTGCACCCTGTGTCTTTTGCTTCCATGACATGTTTCTTAAATATACATAACACATTTGAATATATCCATCATGAAAACTTTGAATTCTGCACAGTAAGAAGAAAAATCTACCTGTAAGCAGAGTAGCAAGTGAGGGCGTTAGCAAAAACTGATTTTCTAAATATTTGGGCAAAAATTCTGTAGCTCCAATATTAGACAGTGACTCTGTGGCTTTGCACATTGCATGGCATATCAGCAGCGGGCACTTCGACAGACACTGAAACAGAACAAGTCACACCACAATGATTTCATCTCATCCAATGCTAGTTATCCATCCACAGAAACGTTTTTCTCATAATCTAAAGGGAATGTATGTAATTCCCTAGGTGACACATGACATAACAGATTTGTAGTTAGGATGCTTTCTACTACACACATAGCTTTTATCTCTGGATCTGTCAGCTTGTTGAGAGTATCTCTTGGTACCATATTAGATACACTCATATTTTGCATTTACGTGACCCATCCGGTGCGAGTTCTCTAACTTTGGCTCATGTGGTTCCACTGTATCTGCTGATTACTATAGGACCAAATATCTGTGTCACCTTCCACTCCCCAGTGTCACAAACATGGTTACAATAAAATCCCTGTGCATGCGCTCTTGACCTCCTTTGACAAGCATATCTTTAGGATTGTGTGTTCTTAGAGGGCATTTATAGATATTGGGACTTATGAGTAATTTATTTCACTTTTTGCTGCAAAATGTTCTTCAGGTTGTATCTTTTCATGACAACATCTTAATAGCTCAGAGTACAGTTTGCTTAGTGGCCCAGCTTATACTCAAGATTCCTCAGAACAATACCTCAAGTTTGGCACTTGCAGGCATGTACCATTGCATCACAAAGTCACTGAGCATGGGAAGGCCTTATAACTGTCAGCAAGGTCATGTGTGACTGTTCTTTAGAACATTATTACTAGCCAATACTAATCTAATATTACAGCAAAGAAGCCTTGAGATCATTACATCCTTCATATTGTGAGTACTTTCATCACCCCATGTACAGCTAACAGGATAAGCCTCACACAATTTTGCACTGATAAGTTAAGTAGTATTTTGTCATGCCACTAAGTTTTGTCATGTAACAACAGCTAATTGGCATAGACCATATAATTAGAAACAGTTGTTAATCCTCGCTAACATGTGTAGGCTTCCAAAATTTTGTCATACAGTCATACAAAAGGCATTCTTTTTTGTGCTTCTATGTTTTCAAATATGAATGTGCATTTGATGGGCTGGAGAGATGCATCATTTGGCAAAGTGCTTGGGTTGTTCAAGGAACAAAACTCAATCTCAAGAACCTATATAAAAATTTCAGACACTGTTGCCTTATATCAATGCTAAGAGATGGAGACAAATATCTTAAAGAATCTAAAGAGTACCAAGGAAAAACAACCAAACAAATGAAGGAAACAGCTCAAACAGTTGAAGGATTGAAAGCTGAAATAGAAACAATAAAGAAAACGCAGAATGAGGGGATGCTAGAAATAGAAAAGCTGGGTAAATGATCAGGAACTACAGATGCAAGTATCACCAATAGAATACAAGAGATGGAAGAGAGAATCTCAGGTGTTGAAGACTCATTAGAGGATATACAGTCATCAACCAAAGAAAATCTCAAGTCCAACAAATACCTAACACAAAATATCCAGGAAATATGGAACACTGTGAAGAAGCCAAACCTGAGAATAATAGGCATAGAAGAAGGTTAAGGCATGCAGCTCAAAGGTACAGAAAACATATTCAACAAAATCATAAAGAAAACTTCCCTAACCTAAAGAAGGTTATGCCTATGGAAATACAAGAATGTTACAAAACACCAAATAGTTTGGACCAGAAAAAGAAGTCCCTTTGCCACATAATAATCAAAACATCAAACCTACAGAATAAAGAGAAAATATTACAAGTAGTTAAAGAAAAAGAAAAATGTAAAGACAGACCTATCCGAGTTACACCTGATTTCTCAATGGAAACTATGAAAGCCAGAAGATCCTGTTCAGATGTCCAACAAACGCTAAGGGAACAAGTATTCCAGCCCAGACTACTATATCCAGCAAAGCCTTCAATTACCATAGATGGAGAAAACAAGATATTCCACGACAAAACCAAATTCAAACAATACATATCCATGAATGCAGCCCTACAGAAAGTACAGGAAGGAAAACTTCAACCCAACAAAGATAACTCCATTCACAAAGTCATGGACAATAGATAATCCCACTTTAGCAAACACCAAAAAAGGGAGGGAAACTCACACAAAATAACACAACCACCAATAAATAAAAAACAAACAAGACTCAACAATCAATTGCCATTAATATCCCTCAATGTCAATGGTCTCAACTTGCCTATAAATAGACACAGACTAGAAGAATGGATATGGAGACAGAACCCATCCTTCTGCTGCATATAGGAAACACATCTCAACGTCAAAGACAGACGTTACCTCAGAGTAAAGGGTTGGGAAAAGACTTTCCAATCAAATGGACCCAAGAAACAGGCTGGTGTAGCAATCCTAGTATCTAACAAATTAGATTTCAAATTAAAATAAATCCAAAGAGATGAAGAAGGACATTTCATATTCATCACAGGAAAAGTACATCAAAATGAAGTCTCAATTCTGAACATCTATTCCCCAAATACAAAGGCACACACATTACTGAAAGAAACATTACTAAACCTCAAATTGCATATAAAATCTCACACACTAGTAATAGGAGACTTCAACACTCTGCTCTCACCACTAGACAGGACCTCCAGACAGAAATTTAACAAAGAGAAAAAGAACTAGCAGAAGTTATAACCCAATTGGGATTAACAGACTTCTATAGAACAGTCCACCCAAACACAAAGGGATATACATTCTTCTCAGCAACACAGGTGGAACCTTTTCTAAAATCAACCACATAATCAGAAACATAGCAAACCTCAACAGATGCAATAAAATCAGAATAACCTACTGTATCTTACCGGACCACCATGCTTCAAAATTAGAATTCAACAACACCACAAATTGAAGAAACCCTACAAACTCATGGAAAGTGAACAATGCACAATTGTACCATACCTTGGTCAAGGAAGAAATAAAAAAAAGAAATTAATGATTTCATGAAACCCAGTGAGGATGAAGGCACAACTTTCCCAAACTTATGGAACACTTTGAAAGCAGTGCTGAGAGGAAAGTTCATAGCACTAGGTGCCCACACGAAGAAACTGGTGAATAGTATTAGAGAATCAATAGCACGAGTGAAAGCTTTAGAGCCAAAAGAAGCAAACTCACCCAGGAGGAGTAGATGCCAGGAAATAATCAAATTGAGAGCTGAAATCAATAAAGTAGAAACCAAGAAAATATTGCAAAGAGTCAATGAAACAAAGAGTTGGTTCTTTGAGAAAATCAACAAGATAGACAAACTTTTATCCAAACTAATTAAAAGGCAGAAAGAGAACATGCTAATTAACAAAATCAAAAATGAAAAGGGGACATTACAAAGGACACTGAGGAAATTCAGAGAATAATTAGGGCATAATTTGAAAACCTGTACTCTACAAAAAATCAAAAATTTAAAGGAAATAGACAATTTTATGGATATATATAATTTGCCAAAATTAAATCAATAACAAATAAGCAATTTTAACAGATCTATAACCCCTAATAAAATAGAAGCAGTCATCAAAAGTCTCCAAACCAAAAAAAGCCTAGGCCCAGATGGCTTCAGTGCAGAAATTCAAAGAATAGTTAATTCCAATACTCCTCAAAGTGTTCCACACTATAGAAGCTGGAGGTTCACTGCCAAACACTTTTTACAAGGCTACAATTACCTTGGTACCCAAGCCACACAAAGACACAACTACAAAAGAGAACTATAGACTAATTTCCTTCATGAACATTGATGCTAAAACACTAGCAAATTGAATCCAAGGACACATCAGAAAAACCATCCACCATGATCAAGTAGGCTTCATCCCAGAGATTCAGGAAAGTGGAAATCAGCCTACCACAAGACCCAGCAATTCTACTCTTATGTATATTCCAAGGAGATGTACCTTTATACAATAAGGACATCTGCTCAACTATGTTCATGGCAACATTATTTGAAATAGCCAGAACCTGGAATCAACCTAGATGCCCCTCAACTGAAGAGTGGATAGAGAAAATGTGGTATATTTACACAGTAGAATACTATTCAGCAGAAAAAAATGAAATCTTGAAATTTGCAGGCAAATGAATGGCATTAGAAGAAACCATCCTGAATGAGGTAACCCAGTCACAAAAAGACAAACATGGTATGTACTTACTCGTATATGGATTTTAGACATGGAGCAGGTGATTGCCAGCCTGCAATTCCACCGCCAGAGAGTCTGGGAATCAGGGAGGACACTAAGAGAGGTATGCATGGTAACCTGGAGAAGAGTTATGGGAGGAGATCTCCTAATTGGATTGGGAGCAGAGGCGAGGGGAAGGAAGAAGATGATTGGAGAAAGAGAGGGGGATAAGACGAGAGGAGAGGAGAACACGGGAGAGCAGGAAGGTTGAGTCAGTGAACGAATAGACGGAGCCATTATAAACTGGAGGAGAGATCTGACGCTAGTGAGATCTTCACAGATCTACAAAAATGACACCAACTGATATTACATCTACCTTAAATGTCCTCCCCTGACAATAAGATTGATGACAACCTTACATGCCATCATGGAACCCTCATCCAGTGGCTGATGGAAACAGAGGCAGATACCCACAGCTAAAAACCAGACTGAACTCCTGAAACCTGGTTGCAAAGAGGAGTGATGAGCAAAGGAATCAAGACCAGGCTGGCGAAAACCAGAGAGACAGCTGATCTGACCTAAACAAGAGAGAACACATGAACCCCAGACTGATGAATGAGAGACCAGCATGGGAGTGATCCAGACACAACCTCCCCCCTTCCCCCTGAACCTGGGTGTCAGAAAAGAGGCCTTGGCAATTTATGGGACCTTGAAGAGTAAAATCAGTATTTATTCTTGGCATACAAATGGACTTTGGGAGCCCATCCCACAATGAGGGATGCTGTCTCAGACTGGACACATAGGGGAGGACCTAGGCCCTGCCCGGGATGAAATGACAGACTCTGAAAATCCCTCATGGAAGGCCTTACCCTCCCTGGGGAGCTGAGGGGAGATGGAGTGGGATGGGGAGTTGGGAGCATTGGGAGACTGGGGGAGGATTAGAGGGAAAGGGAATT